GGGGCAGTTGTTCTGCCACTGTGCTGTTTGGTGGAAGCCCAGGACAGGTAGGTACTGGACCCTCCCCACCGACAGCCAGAGGAGCCCACTGGAGCCACTGCCCGTGGGCGGAGCGGTGAGCAGGAGGGAGCCGGCGGCCAGCGAGGCTCTGCGCCAGGCTGCCCGGCCCACACAGTCTTCCTTCCTTCCCACTTTTTTAATAACGTGTAACTGCAATATGTCAGGCGGCCGCGCAGCGGTGAGCCTGTGGCGTCTGGCCCCAGTTCCTGTGTCCATGGCGCTCTGTGTGCGTGTGTGCGAGTGCGTGTGCGTGTGCGTGCGTGTGCGTGTGTGAGCATCTGCACATATTTACATCTGGAGCCTTAAACTACTCTGTGGGTGCCATCTCAGCTGTAGCTGACCCTTCATGTCCAAGTTTTGTACCACGTTCTTGTCTCTTCCCCTCTCCCCAAGTCGGGGACCTGTCTATGCTCCATGCCTTGAAATAAATGGAACACATGTTGCGGGTTCTCTTCTTGGGGGGCTTCAGGAAGTGAGGGGGTCCTCTGGGAAGAGATGCAAAACCAGCGTGGGGCTGTCTGGGGTGGGGTGCAGAGCTCACATCACAGGGAGGGATTCAGGTGAGGTGGCTGGGTCCTGCACCCACACAATGAGCCGGCTGAGGGTACAGGAGGGGACTCAGGGAGGCCCAGGACTGGACAGGTGAGGGAGGGGACATTGGTGGGGCTGGTGCCCTGTGGCCTCACAGAGGGGAGCCCTGGCCAGGCTGCTGACCGCTGCCCCCAGCCCTGCTCTGGTTCAAACGTCCCTGTCCTTAACCACCAAGGCAGAGAGACGGGGCCGCCCTGTGCTGGAGGGCCCTGGAAGAGAATGGGCCCCGACCCTGACCCCACACCACCTCCAGGGAAGGGCTGCGCACCGAGGTCCCGAGAGGCCAGAGGGATGAAGGTGGCGGGCAGCACCGTGAGAGGGGACCTACGGGTGCCTCTCTACCTTAGTCCCAGGAGAGAGCGGGGGCAAGGAAGAAGCAGCCACCCCCCCTCCCCAGGAGCCCCCCGAGGATGGGCCCCTGCTCTGGAGCCCCCTG